TTCTTTACTAGTGACGTAGTGTATAAGATAAGGATGCTCGTCCCACCATCCCATGCTTCTTCACCCACTCCAGAAGCTAAGCCCCAACAAGCCTTCGAGACCTGAGTTTGCGCTCAAGAATCTATTGGCTCCTTGATAGCATCTCTCTTTGCGCTCGCAAGTCCATTGGCTCTTTTTCTTTGCTTACGTCAAATTCGAGAGTGGATCAAATTTGTAGATATGCAACAAAACCATTCCCAGAAGCCGGACTTCAGACAATTCACTTTAGTGAATGAGATCGCTAAATATATCTAGCCACTTATAGTTCTGGCAATGAAATGACATCCGCCCAAACGTGGAATATTCCCGCTGCTTCCCTGTCGGTCATCCGCCTTAAGGTAGGGCTGATCGATTCTATTTGCGCTTGTAAATCCATTGGCTCTGCAGATGACTTCTTCTTTGCGCTCACAATTTTACTGGTTCATTCAGCTTGCTTACGTCAAATTCGAGAATGGGTCAAATTTTATAGATGTGCAACAAATTCTCGGTTCGAGTTCTAGACTCTGGGCTGTGGTGAATTCGGATGGTCGTCTATTCACTTTCACTTCTCGTTTCAACCATTTTTTTCATCCACTCAAAGCTATCTATCTCAGACATCCTTGAACTCTAATACAAACATGTTTCCAAGGTTGTGTAAGATCCTCGTAAGTTGGTTCCAGCCACCCTTCTATCACCACACAATACTCTGCGCCCATGAAGATGATACACTAGATTCTGTTTTACTTCTTTCTTTTCTCAAACTTTGCTGCTTATTATCCTTAAACCTATGTTACCGACGAGAAAGTTCATACATCCGCTAGAGATCTAGTATATTGGAATCAAAATAAAGAATCAAAAAATCTACCCTCGATATGACGTCATGACTACCGAAAACACCAAACCACTTGCAAGTCGTCCTCACCGTTGGTGTAATTATCATCATCACTTCCAACAGTCGACTTTATTTTCAATTACTGGCATCAGTCTAGAGATCCCGAGCTTCGGAAGATGGTAGCTGTCTGTCCATGGATCGCACTTGCAATCTCCCACCACCGAACCACCAAATCCACTCACGATATCGTCCAACAAAATAGTCCAAATTTCAACATCAGAAAACCCTTCACTTCTCTACACCATCAGAACGCGCTTTCAATGCGCATCACAGCGCACCTACTTTCATAATCAAAATCCAATGAAAAATGTGTTTTTTCAGCTTTCAACCGTCGACCAATGAGAAAGCGAGCGCATTTTTTCCGATGTGCAACAAGAAGTTTTCTCACGTGATATCACGTGAGAATATTCACTACCCTGATACTTGCTCAATACTACACTTCTTAAAATGTACTCCCGAAGGAAAATCAATACAGTAGAGCGATCGTGGGGTATCTGAAGAAAATTGTTTGGTTTGTATAGGTTAGAATGATGCATACTACAGTGACAACTTTCTGCGTTGGGAATGTCTTGGAACGGTGATCGCTAAGGTAACGTTCACCCTATTGTTTGTTACATAATATAGGTACCTATCTTGCAGAGAGTCGATCCATTTCCGGTAGGTATTTGATCAGAAATCCGAGAGTGGAGGATAGTTGCGAGTGGTAATGCAAAAAAGATCTACGAAGGGATCAAAGGGATGTAGCTTGAAATATGAAGTTAGGGCGAATTGAGATGTCAAGAGTGAGAGACATACGTGAGAATGGAGATTTTCATACAAGTTTTGCTATCATGATTATAGGTGTAAATTTATAATAATCATGAATTTTCAAGTCGCTTCGAAGTGAACCGTGAGTGACCCCCGTCTCTCCTCGATGGAAGGAGATAATATTCGGGCTCTCAAGCAATATTAAATAGATGACAATAAGATGCTAGGACTTATGATCTTGGTTTGATATACCGCTGTATAGTAGCTTTCTTCGAACATAATCTCTATTTTTTGAGCAATAATAATCGAAAAATAGATGAAGGGGGAATGAATAAACAAAGCTGTAATAAGACTTTCAATCATCTTTTCTGACAGCTAGAGTGTATATAGAATAAAAATCCCTATAGTATTAAATTAGATAACTATTTAATTCTAATCTCAGACTTGCGCAACTTTTAGAAGCTACTCCTTATTGACTGTTGGTTCAATGGGCATTATGAATTCGTATCTTACCAGCAGTGTTAGCTTGAAGAGAGATACGAGGAACAATGAGCTCAAAGATGCCTCACAGTTGGTTGAGGGTAGTTAGTTCAGCATTCCCACTGAGCCAAACGAATGTTTACGGAAAAATTCAAAGTTCTTGAGATTATGACTTATGAATAACAACTCGATAGTACGAATGCTGGTGTAATAGTCAAGTTTTCTCCTCACGGTCATTCCTTTTCTCTTGAACCTCTATTTCTCCTAGTCCAAAGTCAGTAGAATGTGATTTTTTCAGTTCTATCTGTTTTTCCCAAGGTACACATAAAAGTACCAACAATGCAATGCCAGAGCCATCATTACGAGCCACACCACTCTCCATGCTCTAATATACACATTAATGACCTGCCCTCTGATGACTCCGTCTCCGACACTTTTTATACCTTGTCCACTCGCAGCATAAGTATACGCCAGCCCGTTTACCACCATTTCTCGGAGCTGTTGGTCCTTTATCAAAAACAGATTTGCATTAATTTGTCTGTAAAAGATAATTCCCACCTATGTTAACCCCCCCAAAGGAACCCGAGAGATTTAACGAATGAGTGCCCAAACAGCGGCGGCTCTTCAATGTCGACGTTCCCATTTTCTTTCAGTTTCAATTCCGGATCTACATCTCACAGAAAGTACTGCGATTCAACAGTTCTTGGATCTCTCATTAGAAGCGCAACTCGACCAGCCTATTTCACCCTGGACACTCATCTCAGATGAACTCGAGCTTTGATGTTATTAAAGATAAAATAAAGCTGTTGAAAGTTACTATTGGTTGTGAGAAAGTGCCAAGTAAGCCTATGAACAGCCATGATGTTTTGACAAGAATCTTGCACTCAGTAGATGCTAGATACAAAGTTATCGGGCTTATACATGGCAGATTTCAAGAAGGCTTTCGATAGTAGATAGATGACACCTGCGTTCGCTCATTAAGGCTTCCTTATCTCAATTCAAGGCTAGAAAGATACATTAATTTCATTTGCAAAAACAGCAATGCACACATTTAGCCATTCAAATGTTGACTGCTTGTTCCTTAACCGAACTTCATTTTTCAGATCTAGCGCACAACACGAACGGTCGCTCTAGATCCTTCAATTGTAAGTTTCTACAGGACAAATCGAGCGAAATTCATCAGCGCGATGCAACATTGAGCCGGAGTCAGTGGGTATCTGGAAGTTCAGACGTGGAGGGGGATAATTACTAGGTAGGCCAGTAGTTTAAACTCGAGATTTGCAAATACCACAGTTTAATCCGATTCCGACAGTGCTTCAACGTAAAACACGTCGATATCCATACAATCGTAGTCTCACATTCCGACTTTTTCTCCTTCTGTTATGAAATTTCAAAGGCAGAATTGATGGTTCCTCTGGTCAGGAATCTTGGCTCTTTAAATCAAAAAGCTCGCGAAATTCTTCTCAAAAGTACTAAGCTATACACACTTATACCACTTTCATTAACTCACTATAGAATACAAAGTAGGTTCTTATAGGTTTTCAACTTCATACACGAAGCAAATCTCATTAAATACAATATCTCCAGAATGAAATTTGAATAAAGCTATGAATGTATGTTGTTTCAAAAGATTGATAAAGAAATAGAAAGGATCAACAGAATCGAACCAAATCGAGGCGGTGAAATCAACAGAAATGAATATGAAAATTTTCATATAAGTATTGTTATCATAGTTGTAATCTTACATTTGAATTTACAATACTCGGCTTTCAGTTTTGCATGAATGGTGATTGTAGGTCGTTTTCTGGCGAATCCAGTGGAATGGCTTAGAGTCCTTAAGAGCCATACACCCGATTTCATAATGTGTATTCAAAAGAAAAAGCACCTTTTTTAATATCATTTAATTGAAATTGGAAAATTGGAAAATTCAATTTAATTAATATAATTCTAAATTCAAAAAACTTTATATCATAATATAGATTTCAATTAATAGAATTTATAAATAAGATTTAAATAGAATTGATTAAGAATTTATTGAATTGAAAATAGTTAAATGAAATTATAATTTTTGGAATAGTTTTTAGGTTTTTGAATTTTCGAAAATTGAAATTTTATTCAATTATTTTCAATTCAATAAATTTTTGATCAATTTTATTTAAATTTTATTTATAGATTTTATCAATTGAGATTTATATTATAATACAAAGTTTTTTCAATTTAGAATTATATTGATTGAATTAAAAGCAATTGAATTGTTTTTGTATTAGATTTAACAAAAAATTGATTAAATCAAAAAAAGTCATGTTTTGGACATACGTTATGAAATCGGGTGTACCGAAATTGTGAGAGTACTAATCTCGTGCTTCCTAGAAGGAAGAAAACTCAATAGAAGAAAGTTGAAGGTAATGGTTCATTGATTAAAAGGGCTAATTATTGTAGAAGATTCCCTGGGTTCTCTATTTTATCGTTTGACGTTCACTTTTGAGCGTTGGATTACTTTCGTTAGCGCCAAAAGTACCACTGTACTCTATCTCCAAATTTCTTTTACAAACGCAACCTCAATGGAATTTAAACAACAACTTATACCCCTTCAGCTTCAATTAATAACTGCCGGGATATCGATCATGTGATCAAAGAGGGCACTGTATTAGCTAGCGTGGCGCTAGCACTTCACTATACTAAATACTAGCTTCCCATAGATAATAATGATCAAGAACGAATACAACCATAATAGACAAAAGCACTTACACTTATCAACCAAGTTGATACCAACAATAACTCATCTGCAACAACAACGCGAGACCTGACCTAGAGGAGCCCATTCTTCTCGAAGAGTCTCTTGATTGACACGGATATACAAATTATGGCTGCTCCTTCAAGCTCTATTGTCATCATTGATCCCGATGGGGATCTGGTACTTCTTCTAGGGCCTGTGCCACTTTCGAAATCGGATGCATCCACTTCAAACCCCCGCATCGACGTTCCTAATACAAACATCCTCAGTCCAAAGGCACCCAACAACCCTGGAGAAACGCAAAATGAATGTACTCAACTGTCCAGGTCTGAAGTACTGGTCTCCTCAAAGCATTTGTCGTTCGCTTCACCAGTTTTCAAGGCTATGTTGACGGGGGATTTTAGGGAGGCTGTTGAACTTAGAGAGAAAGGTAGAACCGAGATACCACTTCCAGATGATGATGCAGATGCCATGATCACGTTGGTCAATGTTATACATGGACGCTTTAACTCAGTCTCGAAATACCCCAATTTAATTTTGCTTACCAAAATCGCCATCTTGGTCGACAAATATCAATGCCATGAGTCGACCAAGTTTGTAGCGAAGGTTTGGGCTGCCAACGATCATCTTCCACGTATATGGAGCCAGGAATGGTACAATATCGCTTGCTGGATATGTGTGGCATGGGTATTTAGACTAGATCATGAGTTCAGAGATGCGACGGAGGAGATCATCAAAGAAAGTGGTGTGGGACTTGGAGCAATATTGAAGGAGAATGATCTGGCTTTACCAATCCCGGAAAGAATTATCAGTAAGATTGCAAATCAGATGAAGGATTCTCGATCGCTAACACGTTGCAAAGATAAGATAGACGAAAGCCGTGAGAATGCCGTAAGCCAACTCATCAAATTTCTCAAGGATACAATATCTAGGTACCAGGGCCACACTTTGATGTGTCCCAGCCAAAGTTTGCGACGTGTCTTGGACATAATCTCTCACAGAGAAACCTGCGACGCAACGGTTCTTGGAAGTCTCATAAAAGGTGCCACGGAGAAGGGGCTGTTTCCGTTTCCAGAAGTTCCATTCAATAACGAGCTGCCGTTTTCGGTAGTAAAGCGCAGCATCGAGTCACTCGAGCCCCGGACTGCCTGTAATGTAGTTGTACAAGTCGAATCATTGCACCACGATGTCCTGGAAAGAATTCGACAATCTATTGAGTTCATAGATGAAAAAATATCTGGATTGAGTCTGGCAGATTGCGAGTAGGATTCTCACGTGTGCTCATTAGCTTTCCTCATACATTCTCCAATCCTATAGATAGATATCTTCCACAGCAATGTGGATGAGGACAACTTCCACACAAAATGCAGTCATGGACTTGAGTTTGTCCTCGTCTGTTTATTGACTGCGGTAGTTCCATTATAGCGCAACCCAGGACACTGATTTCTATTTCAGATCTGCAATCCCGCTTTCGCCCGGAGGAGATCTTGAAAACTATACTGCATTTATTGACAATGGGCCTGTTGCCTACATACGGGTAGAAAATGAGGGGAAAAAAGGAAAGACGGGTGGATATTCTAGTCATGAAACAACAAACTGTTCATGACTCGTTCTCGAATGATGGAACTATCAGCGTTATACAGAATGAAGGCCCCTCGATAACATATATCAAATCTACCGTATATCTTTCTGACGTGTGAATATATATATGTTATATTGTGCTTATGTACAGTGTTGTAATTAGTATTTTCCGTATTTCAGTTACACCCCATTTTAGTAGTATGTATTGATATTTATAATAATATTTCAGTAATTATTATTGAATTATGTATCACTGAAAGTATTCCATATTTCAATAATATTGAATATCACTAACAATATACCGAAATATGGGAATTTACATATTTCTATTCAAATATTACATATTTTGAATAATCTCTTTTCTTATTAGACTTAAAGTCAATCAAAATATACAATATTCGAATCAAAATATATGAATTCCCATATTTTAATATATCTTTAGTATAGCTCTGTTTGTATAATATATATAGATGTGGATATAATTAGCTATTATACATACTAGCGTGCGTATTATACTCTCTATATCAGCTACAGTAATATTATCGTATACTAATTATAACACTGCTTATATGGAATGATCACCTTTTTGATTGACCAGGGGCACCATTTAACAGCTCCAAACCTTCATTGACTAATCTTTTAGGTATACTACTCTCTAAATTTTTGATTCACTCTAGGACTACTAGGTAAAATAGGTTCTTATTTTCATACGCTAACCAAAGCTAGCAAGATAGTGCTCGTGGCTGCCGTTGCGTACGGACCATAGACCTCATGGATCCTGCTGAATTTCCCACAATTTCCAAAAGAGTGAGATTTATTGCCGATCTATCTTTCAGAGCTGGTTCTGATTGCGCCATCTTCCCCCAACTTCGCAACGACTCGAAGTACCACGTACACGTTCACAACACTGCCTTCTTTGACTTCTCATATTTGATCATTATACTTGTCAGATCTGAATTAATTACGGCAAAATGGCAATATCTTCAAGCGCAAATATCATTGTCGACCCCGATGGAGATTTAGTCCTCCTCTTGGATCCGACGATACCAAAATCCCCAAAACCCGACTCTTTTTCTTCAGTAGACGCCGAAGCTACTAACCCACCAAACGATGACATCTCCACGGAATCAGAGATGATACGTTCCCTTGATGGTGAAACATCAGAGACTTCGCAGGACGAGCCACTTCCGATTTACAGCGACCATATACTGGTATCTTCGAAACATATGTCTCTAGCCTCACCAGTATTTAAAGCAATGCTTCAGGGCGGTTTTAGAGAGGCTATTACCTTAAAGACAACGTGAAAACTTGAGCTTCCACTTCCAGATGACGACCCCGCTGCCATGAAGATATTGACCGATATGATCCACGGCCGTATGAAATTGATCCCGGCAGTGATTAACTTGGAGTTGTTCACGCAATTAGCTATTCTAGTAGATAAATACCGTTGCGCGGAAGTCGTTTGTCCATATCATGACATTTGGAAAAACACAGTGCAGGATTGGGCCTTTACGAGTGAAGATATGACTCGCTGGCTTTGTGTAGCTTGGCAGTTTGAGCTGGATGCAGAGTTCCGTCGAGCTTCGACTTGGATAGAGGGGCAAGCTAATTGTGATCTCGTGACAACAATGGCAAAAATGAAGTACAATCTACCAATTCCGAAACAAGTAACTGGTAAGACTACCTAGCATGAAAGGTTGCAGGGTCAGCGTTATCAACCCACCTAGACAAAATAGAGATGTATCGCCTAGAAGGAATTAGAAAAGCTGTCAAATATCTCGAAGATTTCATCACGATGTATCAAAATCTCGACAATCGTTGCACTGCTACAACAATTCCAGAAATCGAGTATAAGGATCCAAATCAGAGGGATACATATCCTTATTCAAGCAGAAGTCGTTTAGATACAACACAGATATCATTCCTGAACTATGATGAGGTCGTCTCTTACAGACGAGACTGTGACTCGATGCTACTTGGCTCTTTGACAAAGAGTGCGATTGAGCATGGATTATTTCCTCTGCCAGTATCACCATACACTTCATGGTCTATGATTTTTCTACGCCATAAAATTGAACTCCTTCAGGCCAGCAGTTTATGTTCTAAACTCCTGAAGACATCTGTCGTCCAACATGACGTCATCGACGGACTCAAGACTTCTGTTCGTGCTATTATGACGTTAGGCCTAACTTTGAAAGACGGTAAGAAGTTGGTTAGCAATACATGAGAGAAGCTGCTGAGGTCCACTCCCAAATTTTTGATGCAAATTTAGTCTGGTCTGACCTTAGGAACTTTGTCCGTATCGGCTGTGGTCTATCAAAAACTATAATCATTGTGTCGAATGGCAAGCTACAATCTCCAGAACTTGGATCTGATTGTGCAAGCCATTCAATTTAATGGACAGGAAGCTGTTGATCTTGTTCTCTATGATTATTTTTGCATCGAGAAGTAGATTTACATCTCACAGATTTCAAATACTCACGGAATCCTGCACCCGGTTTTAAAGTGACGGTCAAAATGTTGTTGGGAAATTGCTGCCATGCTGAGTGAAGTTTACGATCGGAGCCGGTGGTGAACAAAATCATTGAAAAGAGGTTATAATGCATCGTCATTGAAAAAAAAAACATCTTCAATCTCATCTACTGCTACTTAAATTTCAATGAGATCGTGTGTCATCTGATCTAGGTCACTTCTCAGCTGGTGTTGGTAATCAAAACCTTAGGATTTTATATTTTATACTTCTAGACACAATCTTGTTGCAACTGTACATCTCATTGTCTGCAACTTCAATTTCTGCAGATAAGAGCGCTAGAATATTTGAATATGTCTCCTAAGATATGTTAGAACTAAGCATGTAGAAGAATGTACTGTTTCCCAGCAAGAAACCATGAGTTGAAATTCAAACGAGCGGAGCAAAATTACAAGTATATGGCGTGACTACGTTCGTCAACAAAATATGGGTGTGAATTCGTTCCCTGAATGCCCAAACTATAACCCTCCCGGATTACTGCAAGCCTTAAGTGGAACCAAGCCCTGACTACTACCAATGAAAGCTTAGTATAGGGTTCGTTCTGGTGTTTAAAATAAGAGATAGCGATCTGCCACCTGAAGAGTCGAGATCTCAGCTGACTTCTGCTTGAACTTTCTACTCATGGCTTCGGAAAAGGCTTTGCAAGCCTTTACAAAGTCTTGCGGCCCATCAAGACCATCAACTACCGACGTAGAGAGTGTAGCTCTGTACCAATATCTGACCATCTTTACAAAATTTACCACACGACTTTTTGATGAGAATCCCGACTCACTTAATCACAAGAGCAATTCCATTACCTAGACCAATGACGGAGAACCCATTCACGACTGAAGACAGTTCTCTAGTAACAGTGGTATTTATTTGACGACAAAGCATCTAGAACCCTCTGGATTGAAAACCTATGCATCATGCAGGACAGCGAAAACGATATTTCTACGAGGCACCACCCATGATACTATTTGCGGAAACGCCTTGCACAGAACCAGAGGAATTCCCCAACCCTGATGCTGTAAAGCTTACTTTTTCTCCGACAGTCTTACTTTAGATGACGCACTGCTTCTAGAACGCGTCAGTCAACCTACATATCCACGATGACCAATTTCATTGTAAATCCCAGTAATAAACCAGCCCAAGTGGTGTCAGATCAATCAGCTTTTCTGGGTCACACAGTAAAGAAACCTTTCGAGAGAAGGACTTCATTCTTGAACATATGAACTGGGGTGAATGTGGCAACATATGCAGGGCTAGGAATTGTCTCTGTTCTGACGTCTACTTGGTGATTTTACGACGATCATCTTCTATTCCCCCTCATACGATTTATTTCGCCTCTTGGACGAGTACCGGGTGACCCAGAATCAACGCTTACAGCTATAAGATGCATGGTTGAACTGCTACTATACATTCAATATGATGGTAGCAACGGCTGGTGCAGCAAGTCAATTCGGGAAACACTTAAGCCCCTTCGTATAGTCAGGCGCCCAATCCGCAACTATAGAGCCCCAAAACGCATATATATGAGCTGGCAATACCACAATACGAACGATATATTCTTCAAAGTAACGCCAGCATGTAGATCTACAACCAATAACGGTTCACAGCGGGACTCGGCTGAATTGCCTATACTCAGCCGCCGTTACACTAATTATCGGTTCGGCATAATGAGCGCGGCTCACAACTATGTACCGGGGATACCATCCAAGTTTCAGTCACGTACATTGCGACTTTTTTCGAATTCATCACATTTCCCCACAATCGCTAGGCGGGGAACCTGTGTAAGATTTTGAAAGACCGGATTTCAATACCTACTGGTAATCACCCCGCGTTTCGCGAAAGGATATCCTTACCCATGTCACGGGAGGGAACATAAATGGACCGGGTATCTGCTGCTCGTAAGTCTTGATTAGGAAATCTTCTCGGCTATCAAGTTGGAGAACGTGACAATGAAAGTCTTGGGATCTCCGAATGGTTCTTCCGGCCGTTGTATGTAAAGGAAAACTCTTGGATGCTGGATCATCGGCGAAGACAAAATGTAAGCTTCAAGGACGAACATGTCATGCTTGATACGCCGCGGAAAGGGTGTGCAGCCAGGGAGCGGCTTTGTGCCGTTGAGAATCATAGCTGAAGTTCGATAATTTTATATGTTTTTAGCTCGTCGCGCTGCCGCAACTGCAGGCTGTAGATTCGGCGAATTACTGCAGAAAGGCTGCAACGTCCTTGAGATAATTGGTCTTGGCTTACCTCTTCCAGGGTCCCGGATTGTCTAAGAAAACCTTAGAAAACCATTGTGTATTGCATGAGATGCAGACTCTTCGTACGTGATCAAATATGGGATTGCGTCTGAACCTACCATGAATGATTTGAGTCGTTGCTGAGAAGTATTTAAGTTGTGGTAGGTAAGCCAACAAGCCATTCTACAGAGTCCGGAGCTCTGGCGCAGTGAAAGTTTGGAGACGAGAAATCCACAGCGAGGATTTCTGACACGTGTTGAGATGATTTTTGCAGCTCTTGGACTTAATTTTGGTGTGGGAGGTTGCTTGATATGTGGATTCATCATTGTGTTGCCCCTTTTCCTGCCGTGATCTACTCATCAAGAAGTACAAGGGAGTAGACTTTGGGTCGAAAGCGAAGAGTCTTTTGATATGAGGATGTGTATTGAAATATATGGTTCCAGACTTCGAGGTACATAGAATCGCCTAATAGATTTTCCGATATTCAGATAGATCCTAGTCAACTTACCCACCCACCCCCATTCTTGTCCCCAATCAACTTCCCCAAGTTTTCTCCGCCTATCCGAGATTGGGACTACTGCGTTTTGCTTGCTTTTCGACGTGTTAATTGGCCAAGCGTAGTACAGGAACCGTGTGGGGAAATTGCTTGGGGAAAATGGGATCGTGGAGGCGGAAAAAAGAAAGATCAGATGAAATTTTGACAAGTAGAGTACTTTCCCCGTGGTACGACAGGTCTAAAAGGTCTGATATGGTCTTCGATCCTCAAAGCTAGGATACAAAGCTGGAGGGATCATCAATCCTCGTGTCCAACAGATCTACAAAGACTTTTATTGCTGAACACCAACAGAAAATGTCAATCTGACATAGAACCCAAGCATATGATTTTTCATTAAGACCCAATTGAGTATCCTACAAAGACTATCCCAATTTTCATTTCCCTGTCAATGCACGAAGAGGTTTGGAACTTGGAGTACCTTCCAAGCACGAGATCCAGTAAAGAGGAAATCAGCTCATGTTCCTCGTGAGGATCTGCATATTCATATATGTTGTGGCCAGAATACTTACAAGCCCCACGGTTGCATTAAACGACGCCAGGAAGCTTTCAACGTTTCACAACTACACCGTCGTGGATATAATATTGCAATATATCCAATATATCAAGGATTTTGGCCAAAAGAAGAGTCCTGCTGCTGTCAGCGAATGTCAGCTTCCTCCCCAAAACGACGTCGGCGCCTTCATCCGTGACCGTTGGTTTGCCAGTATTCTACGAATTGAAGTTTGCCGGAAACACTGCAGTCATTCCCCGTACCTCCAGCGTCCTTGAACGTCTTACCATCAACTCACGCACATGCGATTTCTCAGCTCAGAGGCCAAGAAGATACTATTATCGACGTATTTTTGTCATATTTCATATTGAGTTGATAAAGCTGCACTTGCTGTAATCAATTCGCAACTTATTCCAGACCCCAATCCAATCCAGACCGAATTCTATCGAGGTGGGTCGGATATTGTCCTTCGGCCATCGGCACCCATTTTCATGCCTTCATCAATTGGTTCAACAAAGATGTTTCATACTTGTAAGTATATATTCGAAAAGAAGACATCCGAATTACCGAGTGGAGTAAGAAAGTTCCATGCTGATCATTGTTCCAACGTTGTATTAGTTCAAGGACTGGCGCCACCCCGCGAAACTTTAAGCAGCACAGAACAATCAATAATTGTAGATACCCCCCAACCGACGACGAATGGAGTAACCAAACGAATTACAACTCCACACGCATGTGCAGAATGTAAACGTCGTAAAATTCGATGCGACGGCCGACAGCCTTGTGGGCAATGTGTTGGATGTCGTTCTCCTAAACCATGTTATTACGATAAACATAGACAGAGGGTAATTCCATCTCGAAAGTACGATGATTGTTTCCAAACGCTGCTTTAAAGTACTGATTGAAGTAGAACCCTTGATGCTCTCTCTCAATCCCTAGATGAATGTCGTACCGTTTTACAACGACTTTTTCCGGATCAAGAAGTGCAACAATTGTTGCCGTTGTCGCGGAATGAACTCGTTGCCCTCATCGATCGGTCCCCGCGAAGTGCGCTCTCGAATACATCCCCCTCTGCTTCAAATACCTCTCCAACATCACAGGAATATAGGTCGCCCTTGAACTCTGGGTCGGACGAAGATAGAAGTCTTGCAAATCTTGAACAGATACCAAATCAAGATATTGAATGGGACGAAGAAAGAAGAAATAGAGATCCAATACCCACAGAGGCGGATGATGTCAATGCTTTGTCTCTCTCAGTTGATAGACAGTCGTCGTACTTAGGTGCGACTTCAATTAAAGCCGCACTTTTGGTTATGCTCAAGGTAGCACCGAGACTACGATCTCTCTTCTTGGCGCCTTCTAACAACAAGCAAATCTCAGCAAGTAGCAACTATCCCACACCACGACCAGGAAGTTCTGCCAAAGATTTACAAGCAATCTCATGGTCATCCAATGGCCAGACTCTTATTGATGCATACTTCAACAGAGTGCAAATATTTGTACCAATGCTTGACGAACCCACGTTTAGAGCCGACTTTTTGAGTGGGCGACGTCAAGATGCGCCATGGCTTGGTCTATTAAACATGGTATTTGCAATGGGAAGTATTGTCGCAAGCAAATCAGACGATCACAAACACATCAATTACTACAACCAAGCGAAAGACCACCTAGGGATTGATTCTTTTGGTAGCGGGCATTTGGAAACATTACAAGCTCTGTCATTGATGGGAGGTTTTTATCTTCACTACATCAATCGTCCAAATACTGCCAATGCTATCTGTGGAGCTGCTTTGAGAATGGCTTGTGCAATGGGGTTACATCGTGAAAGTATGCATGAGAACAGCGTCGAGAGCAATCTGATTACAGAACAGAGACGAAGAACGTGGTGGAGTTTATTCTGTCTTGATACATGGGCGTCTACGACATTAGGAAGACCTTCTATGGGTCGCTGGGGCCCTGCGATTACCATGCAGCCTCCCGAATCATCTACGAGCACTGTTTGTAAACCCTTTCCAAGTTACTTGTTCGTAGCTAACGTTATTCTAGAATCAAGATATGAATATTACTCCCCTAATAGAGAATATCAAATTTTGTAAAGTTGCCACACAAATTCAGGACGCTCTTGCCCAAACCCCACTTCTCCGAGCTGACGACCTAGCCAATCTCGACAGACAGCTCGTAGAATGGTATGATAATCTTCCTTGGATCTTACGCTCTACGGAACCTTGTCCAGAATCAATTCATACTGCTCGATGCGTCATGAAATGGAGATACCAGAATCTTCGCATGGTACTTTACAGACCTGTTCTTCTGAATCTTGCCAATAGAGGCAATCAAGGAATTTCACCAACCAAGGAAGAACTTGCAGCCGTGCGAACATGTCGTACAATTGCCCAAGAAACCATTGAAGATATAGCACGTGAATGGACTCCAAACCAAATGTTGGGATGGAATGGTGTGTGGTTCATGTATCAAGCATCCATGATTCCACTTGTCAGTATATTCTGGGAATCATGGAACACAAATCTTGTTCGGATTTGGCAATCCCAGATTGAAGTTGTGCTTGAAGCGTTTGATGGTATGGCGGATTGGTCTTTGGCTGCTAGACGAAGTAGGGAAGTGGTGAGCAAGGTCTATGAAGTCAGTAAGCGACCTCTGACTAGACAACCGAGTCCGGGGTTGAGCCACATGACAGATGATATGCATCGAATGGGGGGAATAGATGGGAGACATTATATGGATAGTAATATGTTGCAGCAGGTTGAGATTATGGGAGAAGAACAATTAATGATGCTTGATAACGGAGGAATATGGGATCTGGATGGCATGTTATGGGGAAATTTGCCGGATGGATTGGATATGCCCTATGATGGTTTGCCAATGCAGTATGATGATTCAGGCATGGCACAATTCGAAGGGCCGTATATCATTCATCAATGATTGATAGGCTTGCGATTGAAGTAGGACATTCTACCGTCTACACAAGAGCTGGTCTCATCATCATGGGAGGTCATTTGGGCATTTTATCTAGGATAGCGAGAAAACTTGATGGGTTATGATTAGCTGCGGATGGAAGTTGCATCTTTGTTTGCGTATGGGCTATGAAGTTACGCTTTTGTATATGATATGATATGATATGATATGATACCACTATAGCAATATATTATTTGACAACACGATTTTCAGGCACATACAGACATGCAAAATCCAATTATCGAAATGAATAATCTCAAATATTTTTAGCATTAGCACCCCCATTCTTGATCTTAAAAATTAGTATCGAATGTACCTCGGCCTGCAAATCTACATACCTAGAAGCCACAGTTACTTTCGCTTCCATGCATCACACCCCGCTAAACTCGGGGTTCATCTGGATCGAAAAAAAGGTTGCAGAAATATCTAAACCCGCAGCTAATTTAACGCTCATCGTCCCCGAATAGTAACATCGACAGTTTATATTCAGCTCCCAAGATAATGTGAGAGTGAGGGGCAAACTAATTTATTATTAGCGAATGCGGGGAAATCTACCTAGGCAATATTTTGATAAAAAGACCTAGGTAAATTACATTCAATATTCGTCTCTATTACTCGCTAAGTAAAAGATGAATATCACACGGAGTCTCGGGCCGAAACTCCAAATTCTCTCCCTTTCCTCTCCTCTCCTCTCCTTCAATTCAAATTCATTCCTCAGTACTCTCACCTATGATTCTCCTGGCTTCCCCGCACTCACAGCAACGAAATAATCCCAGCCCATCCCAGTCCATCGCATTCCAAGATCCAAGCCTCCCTTACAACTCATCTGCACAACCCCAATGAAGATCCCCCACCTCATCCGATATTCCAGCTCGCCAATCCTCCCACATCCACATCCCCATCCACACCCTCACACAAAACACTATCGACCCATCCTCGCTACCAAATTTTCCCTCCCCGTTGCATCCGAACCCCACGTCTACGGAGAATTCAGGACCATCTCACATATGATCCTACGTCCCCCTCTGCCAACAGTGAAGTGGTGTTCTGAAAAATTCTGTCGTGTAACACGTTTTGACTAAGACTATGTATGTAAGTAGACCAAAAAGTCAGGTAAGCAAGCCAGCAAGCTAGCAAGCGAATGCGGAAATGTCGTACTAACTGTGTTAGAACTGCACAGCAGATGTATCACCAAAAAGAACCGCCTTGTATTGCAACAGAAATGCACTTCATGCTTATCTCATGATCTTCTGCATGCATGTATGCGGTGCGACTTGCAAGATATCAAATCTTTGGATTTATTTTGATCCGCGTGATTTGAATGTATGGTTATCACGCCTTTGAAACGCCTCTCTTTGAAAATCTCGAAAATGTCAGTGTGAATTGATAAGTTATTTTACTGATCGTGATATCATTATTGCTTAGCCATGGCCCGATGACACTCGCAAATCTTCGTTAATCTTATCTATGCCTCCACATCTCGATATGCATGACATTCCCATTCCCGGATCATATGCTCTTATAACCTTTCGCGAAACACCCCTATTTGCTAGCCTTAGATTAGGTAGGCTTTATCCGATTAGATCCTCAAAACTTGCGCCCTACTCGTGATACCATCAAATATGCATGTGTTGTCGATCGGTACATATTGTTTCGTGATAATTTTGATGATTTCTTGTGCAACCATACCCCCAGTTAACGAAGAAATGTTGTGTAATTCACCTCCTTTGGCTCGTGATACTTCTTCTGCAACTTTCTGGACACGTGGATTAGAGGACACATTCGGTACTTCTTTGTCGATCTGGGCTAATATCTCAGATGAAGTAGCTGCTGCTACATGAGCAGTTGCGTGAAGAGCTAAGTAAATGGGGAAGTTCGATAATGGCGCCATCGTGAAGGAAGCGTTTGCATCATTTTCAGATTCCAAATCTATCAGAACATTAATTGCGAATTCTCGGACAGGGATTATACAAGGTGAACATACTTGCTATCTTCTGTAAATCTATTGTCGGATCCGAGCCTCGGATAAGCTTGATGAAAGCGGCATTCTTGCAGAACACCTCTACTTCTTCTGTCTTAATCTCATTACCACGTGCATGTGCCCGCACAGTCTCTAGTATTTCTTGGACGTCTTGTCGAGCTTTTGCTTTATAAATGTTTTGAAGTTGTACGTATGTACTAGATTGAGCCTTCATGTCTGGGACTGATCCCGGAAGCGGGAGCTCATTATGCTTCTCATAAAACTTCTTCACGGCATCAGCAATAATCCAAAAATCCGAGTTAGATTCTGCCTAAAGTCAAGCTAGTTAGCATTACACTCGCTCCCTTGGGTCATCTTCATCATACCTCGGTTGGTGAGTATTCGAAGACTTCCTTCACGGAACTTTTCAGATCTTGTACGGATATGTTCTTCATCACAGCCGCAACAGCTTCATCGAGGTTCTCCTCTCCACCCTCGGCATTATTTCTCCTTGTGCCATTCGTAACAGTCGTCCTGAACGCTGATTTGTCTTTGTAGGAGGTCGGATATGAGCCATGTTCTTCTTTCCATTTTGCCAAGAAATGCAAGAGCAGGACTAAGTAAGGTATATGGCCATGCTCATGGTCACTAAGAGTGTCGATGTCTTCAGTCAGATCTGATGCGAAATTCGAAAGTTCTGGCCATGGCTTTAAAAGTCGTAGATCTGTTGTTGCGGTTGAATCTGGGTGAGTATCAACTATAGGAAAGTTTCCTGGTAGATGCGTTTTGAAATATGAGTAAAAGCCTGCGGAGTGTATGCCGACGAGAGGCACTTTGTGGGATGCGCTGTATTTCTCTGCAAGAGCGAGGATTCTGGGATCGATTGGGAATGAGTATATAATTAATGTATATTTTTCTTCATGATCTTCCGCAAACAGTTGGTCTACTTTATCGTCCTGCATGTATTTCGTTAGCAAGTTTAATGGTAAACAAGTAGACTCGCAGGTTTACCTTGAGTTTTGGAAACCAGTCCCCCCTCACATCTGGATTGAGCTCTTGTAAAAGTTTCACACATTGTTCCGCCCTTGATTTCCCCAAACTCTCTTCATCAAGAAAGAAATTGACACCCAAATCAGCCTCATTTACGAGTTCTTCGTCCGCAATTGTAAATTTTCCAATGCCTATTGCCGTTAGTTGACTATGCATATCCCATCGGCTTGTCACATACCTGGAAGCACTAAATTTTTCAAAGTCTCAACACCAACTGTGCCAGAACCAGAGTTCAATAATAGTAAGTTGGCATTCTCAAGGGCTGCCTGTCCAGAAGCTGCCCATAATCGTAGTTGTCGATCATATTTCTTCTCCTTGTCGGAAGGGCCTTGAAGGACAGGAGGATTCTGGTCCATGATTGTCTCCGCCATTGTTTGGAGGCACAAATTAGAAAGATAGAGCTTGTAGAGTATCGGATCTACAAAGGTAACAGTCAACAGGTTCCCTAAATATCCTGAAAGTGTATGAGTGTATATGATAGATATGATGAGGTAGATCTAATCAACCAACACTGAACTGTAGCAGAAGCCTTGCTTATCTAAGAATTGTTGCTCTTATCGGCACGTGCGAACAGTCGAGCTCTTATCTTAGCGTCCGCTCACTCCGGAGAAACTCCTCAAGGCTGTATTCACCGAAGCTTCACTCCGAACAAACATCCATCCGGATCGGAGCGTCATCTTATTCAGCAATGTCGCATGAATTTATCCAAAAATCTAGTCGGGCCATCCCACTTGGCTAAGCTAACCCCACCAATTTGGGCACGCAATAAAATAATTATTATTTCATCACTCCATTTAATTTCCAAAATAAGATCTGACATTTCCTAACCCGAGTTTTGATGGAAATATATCCTCGCAATCTTGCTTTCCAACTCTTTCGCTCTCACACATTGTCTCATTCGATTATACATTCAGCTGGACTCAAGACCTCTACAATCTCCGTACATCGTTCATTCGCAAGCGTTTGTCCCACTACGGTTCATTCCCGCAGTATATATCCCATATTTCCACGATTCTTGAATATATCGAGAAGGAATTTGTCGAGCATATCTAAGCAGCATTATACGAACTCAATGGCTTCCAATAATCCAGCTGTTCCTGGTCAATCCGCGGCATCCTCAAATCCGATAGTTCCAGCTGCCGAAAATGCTACCCCTCATACTTATGATTACGCAAACCTTTCTCCAGTAGAAGCCTCGAAGCGTCGAGCAGCATACAAAGCAGTCGAGGATCACTTCGATCCTTCTTACAAATACGTTGGAATCGGATCGGGTAGTACTGTCGTTTACGTAGTGGAAGCTATCGCTGCTAAAGGTCGAGACATCACCTCAAAGATGATCTTTGTTCCCACTGGCGATCAAAGTAAACAGTTGATTATCGAAGCAGGTCTGCCTTTGGGAAGCATTGATTCTTTGCCTCCTGTAGTTGTGGAGCCTCTTCATCTGAGTGGAGATGCTGCTTTCGATGTTTCTACGGGTCTGCAAGATCTAGGTTTGAAGGGAAAGCGTGAAAGTCTTGATGTTGCATTCGATGGAGCAGACGAAATCGACGAAGATCTCAACTGTATAAAAGGAGGCGGAGCTTGTCTTTTCCAAGAAAAGTTGGTTGCAACTTCTTCCAAGAAGTTCGTATGTGTAGCAGGTCAGTGAAGCATTTGGGTAATACGTTTGCGACTTTGACTCAAACTAACAATGCGTAGATTATCGAAAGCTCCAACCTCGTCTCCTCACTTCTTGGAAAGCCATTCCAATCGAGATTGCACCATTAGCCGCTCCAACCATTAAAAGAATTCTAATTACGCTGGGCTCTCCGGATCCGAAAATCAGACAAGGTGGAAGCGCGAAAGCTGGACCAGTAGTTACAGATAACGGCATGTGGATCATCGACGCGCCTTTCCCAAAACTTCTAATTCATTCAGATTTGAAGGGTAATGATAAGGGGGATGGAGAAAACGGCACTTGGGAGGTACACACACTTGGAAGAAGATTAAAGAGAATAGTGGGTGTACTGGAGACTGGTCTCTTCCATGGAAGAAATGGCGCCCAGGTTGCAAATGCCGGAGAAGAGGGTGGTGGACAGAAGCCAGTGGCTGCATATTTCGGTATGGAGGATGGAAATGTTGAGGTCCGCACTGCCACAGAACATGGGGTGAAGTCGAGACCTTGAGTTCTTTGTGAATCTATGAGGAGAAGTGGAGCGGAGAGCTTTAGAATGATAAATAACACTGATATAGGTGGTTAGCGAGCTATTCCCTTGATTAATAGACATATTACCTTCACATTCGCACTCTCAGAGATATCAGGCGATTATGGGATTCTTGTTTTGGTCTCCCTCGTCAAATGAGAGTCACATTTTACTCGAGTAGAAAGGCAATTTTTTATCGCTTGTCAAAATGTAGCCTTTCTAAAGTCTGCAACTGGAATTCGCAGATAAGTGGGCCAATACAAGAATCAAAATGGAGTTCGAAGTACATCATGTGGTGAGCTTCTCCCTCCGCTCTAGCTTCTCTCTGTATGCCCAATACTTTGAAGCTCGTTAAAATGCAATTTTGACAAGATTTAATGCCAGACAACAGTAGTACACCTGGGTAGGTCAAATCGACACCTAAACAACCATAAGATTCATTTTTTGCTTGCTCAAATCTTTCTTCAGCTCATCCGTCCAAAATTCCCTGTACAATTGACACAATCCAACCCTCCGGAAGATGGCCAAGTTATTGACATCCAACACTTGCTGAAGCGCTAAACCCGTCAGATATCGTTTGGTTCCACGATTCATTGAAATATTGCCATTACGCAGACGAGCGAGCGTCAACGGAACCTTACTTGAACTATAATAACCTAATTTACCGTTCTTTGCCATGCTCACATTCGAAGAATCTTTGTCATCTTCTCGCATTAATAAAATAGCCAAACTGTGTACCCTTAGGCCGCTAGCTACTGGGTTCGAGTCCAACGCGACGAAACCAATTACCTCGCCTTCGCCAGAAGCGTTGGCCTTCAGTTGTACCAGAGTTCCCGGCCAGCGACCCGCAGACACGTTGGGTGCGAGGTACTGGGTATCGTAGCCGTAGTCATCAAAATGTACTTGAGCTCGCTTCAAGTGACCTGTCAGAATCATATGGCCAGGCAATATTTGTGTAAATACATTCCCTTTATCTGAAGGCGAACAGTCAACTTCGAGACAGTGGCTTAGCGGACCTCCGGATGGTTTTAATCCCGAGTGACTGTACAGAAAGTTGATCTTCTCATGCTCCAGAGAGGCCCATGACCATGATGGCGACTTAGCTTTGAATTCGTCTCGTTTTTCAAGATTAGGGAGTGCCGCTTTCAGCCTTTGGGCTGTTCCTGAGGAGCTAATAGGCACATTCCTCAAGAAGGGTGTGTGCGTTTCAATGTTGCCTGTCGAAAGTTGACTCATCCCTTCTGCCACAGATGAGGCGGCCTTTGGTATGTTTCTACCTTTCTTCGGAACAACAGTATAGTATTCTTCGCCCAATAAAGACGGGAATTCATACTTTCCACTACCTATCTTGGGCTGAGAGGCGACATACCATAGCAAGCCATAATCTAGGTCTTGCTTCCATAGACCAGCCAGATAGTCATATTTATGAATATTATGCATTTGAGTTGCAATACCAGCAAGTGCAGGTAGCTTGTCTGTGTTATATGTCAAATTCCGAACAGTGAAGCACGATACAGCTTCATACCAGTCTTGAAAATATCGTCTTTTCGGATCCGAGGTATTAAGACACCGTGTCTTCCATTCTGGACAATGAAGCCAAGTTTTAAGCCTATAATCCAGCCTATTGGATGGATGCGAATTGCCATTTGGTGTAGTTTCTGTGGCGCATAAAGTAACACAAGACCAGCGAAGACCATCCGGACAAAACTTGAGAGTCCGAGCTGAAAGCACTTCTTCCTGGAAAATCCACCCACGACTGTCCAGGATCGTGCCCTGTTCGTCGTCTCGAGGAAGTTGTGCAAATATCTGAGTATTAGAACCATCGGCTTCTATTTCATAGACGAGGGAGGGTCGCTGCTGGTGTGGGTCGCGCTTCGCAAAAAGTCCTGCATCTGCATGGTCGCCATTGGCAGCACCAATTGTAATGACGGACCGAGAGTAAATGTCTCCCATTACAGCGAGCTCTCTTGATTTGTCTTCGGCTGAATCTTGGATAATACATAGAGCATCTACCCAGAGATATTTGATTGATAGTGCTCGAGTAACTCTAATGGCGTCTTGAGTCGTCTTGGAAAGCATTTGAACAGGAAGAGCGTTCAAAAACTGAAGATGATTTGCTTTCTTTAATTGCAATTGACCCTTTTTGCCCCAACAATAACTCAAAGTAGCATAGGGAACGATCTGTCCTTTTGGTTCTACAAGACGCGGCGCAATACTGGGGTTCTCGTCGATATATATGACACGAGTAGGGAGCGTCCCTATAGTTTCTCGGCAAAGCTTGTGGTTAAAGCAATCAATCATCCAAGTACTTGCCAATTTCAAAGATGCATCGAATCCATCAGCACCGTCTTCAAATCGCTGAGCTGGAAAGCTTAAAAAGGCAGATTTGGAAAAGACCCTAGGTAATTCGCCTATGAAATCAGCCGAGGAACACTATTAGAATCAAAATGTTACCAACCGAAAAGTGTATTCAAATCCATCTCCACCGATAAATCACCAAAGTGGATATTAAAAGACCCCGACCAATTGGTTCCGTCGTTAATCTTCACAAAATTACGACCGTCACTTGATTTTGAAAATTCTCCTTTCTGTGTTAATATAACTCGCGTCCGCTTAAAGATTGAGTTCCACAATAAGTAATCTTTTCCATCTAAGACCGTTAAATCCAAAGCAGCAGATAATTCATCACCTGACGATCGATTCACATTGCAACGGAGTCGAGCAGTCATTAATTTGCAAAGCTGACATTCGGGTCGAAAGTCGTCCCATTCTAATAAACGACGCTTATCGTGAAAGAAGAATCGATGGCTAGAGTACGCAGCTCGTATTTCTTCAGTCGCTTCTTTTTGGAAAGTAACGCCAGTCTGCTGTAAGGGAGCAAATGAGATGTTTTGGCAAGTGGTGCAGAGCATTGTGGGACAACAGCAGTAGTAGTAGGCACCGGGAAAAGGCAGTTTAGTCATTGACTTCGATAGTAAATGCAGAAATCTTCAGTAAGCATCACAGGGACTTTATGTGTTGCTTGTGATCCTAGGTATCAAGAGCTGAACACTTTCCAATATTGCGGCGTTGTGGCTTTATTTATGTTTCTTGGCAAATGTCAGCGTTGATATTGACAATCCAATAGTAAGGAGAATCACCTTGATTGAGCGAGTTGACTGCTTGCTTTATATCCTACCAAAGATAATGGATGGGACTATTATCTCATGAGGTGAAGACTCTAGCGCTGCTTTTCAGTTTTACATCAAGGCGAATATTGTACCCAGAATTGAAAAGACAGAGATTAAAATTCCCGATTTTCTACCCCATTAAATACATATAACTGAGAGATCATCTACTTCGAAGCAAGTAAAAAGCTACTCCCAATAACCTCAGCTGCCTGAGAGCATCAAATAAAAGACCACATCAAACGCCTTCAAAGATCAAGGGGATTTCCAATACATATAAGATTCACAAACCAGAAAAACGAACGTGTCATGCAATGAGAAAGGACAACGAGAAGGGAGAGAATGAACGTGACTGCCATGACATTTGCAACACAATCTTAACCCCGCATTTAAACAATAAGGTGCTCATGTCACTTATCAATCGAAAAAGAAAAGAAAGGATCAAACACTTTGAGAATGACTTTAAATTCACATTTTGGCTTCATATGCAGAATTGGATCAGATTATACCAATAAATAAGGATGCCGAAAATATCAATGTTCGAGATCTTGAGCTGTGAAAACGTCTCAGAACAGAGTCGGTCAGAGAATAGAGTTGTGGACTTAGTATCAAGACATAAATATACCATCTCTGAAATTGGCGAATAATTCTTCCGGGTCAAAATTCGTTATTCCCTATTTCTATGATATTCTGATCCACACGAGCCTTGAAATGCTAATTTCAAAGCGTCTATTTCATTTCATTCGTATCTTCGCGTGATTCCTCTATCCTCTCATTGATCCACTTCGCTTCCATCTTCTTGAATCCTCAAGACCACAACTCTCTATCGACGCCACCCCAGTTAATAAAGTCGATCCCCTCCTTCCTCCATGCATCATCTTCTATAAATGTTTTGTTGCTGTTCAAGACCATATTTTTCGGGGCATCTTTATTATAAAGTGGCCAATATGGAAGGTTTGGGCTGATACTCGTCGTACTATTGGATATCGTGGATAAAGAGCTATTGGACAGAACATTTGGATCGTGATAATTCACAAACGAGATATAGGCTTTACCGATATTTCGTGATAAATCGAGATAAGGCTGATATTGGGGGAGGGGACCGAGAGCACCGGAGATGTTTTGAAAGGAAAAGACAACATTCACGACTTGGGTTTGTCAGCTTTGTGATTGTGATAAAAGAACAGGGGAGACAGTAGCGAGACTTACAATGCCTTGCGCCATCGGTTACCGCAGCATTCCAGAGAGGTGTATCGACTGGTGGGTGAGAGGAACGTTAGTTTTGCAAGGATATAACGTTATGGGAAAGGGGCAGGCTGAGAGGATGAGACTTACAGCGATAGCTATATACGGATTGAGCAGCAGCGGCGTAGATCTCGCACAGCTAAATAAGAATCCTTGGGTTAGAAGCTGGTACTAAATGAGAAAATAGGATGGGCAGGAACGTATGTTTACCTTTCGACGACCGGATATCATAACTAGATCTCCTGCGATGGCAGCACTACGTCTCCATCTAGTTCTTGCATTAGTACGGCGAGGACCAAGAATATTCATATCTCAGGCTAACTTACTGTAGTCCCTTGGACGGGAAGATTGTCGCATTGGTAATGTAATGTGGAGGTTCATTTGCAGGATCGTTCTGTTACTGTTAGTTTTTACTATCGGGTACTTGAACGACCACTTCAGATGACATACAGGATACAGCTCAAGCAACTTTCTAGCAGTTGGCGGCGATAGGGCATAAGCATTTGAAGCCCGGTATACGAGTAGATTGTTGAAAATAGCTGTCTCGTTATCTAGTCCGGCAACACCAAAACTAGTTCCTTCATCGCTATTCGCTCCAATGAGGAGAGGGACCTTGATGAACTTTCCTTGGGGTGTTAGGCTACTGGGGTAGTCAGTTAGAAAATCACCATCGACCTAAGGTCAAGTTAGTGTTGTTTGAAAATATGCAATTGTCTGATTATCGAATATGGCTTTCAATTGTTAATATACAGGTGAAGAAATGGTGTGACTTGCCATGGGATTCCATTGTTGGCTGACTTGTGCTTTCCATAACTGATCTGAAGTCAGACTTCGTAAACAAGCGAGTTTGTTTGTAGATGTCCAACAACCGGTGGCTCGAGTTAGATTCTCGGTTGGTACCGTATAGTAACCGAGGGGGTTCCTACAATGGGTTAGAATTTGAGCTAAAGCAGGAGGGCCACAATTGCCAAAAAAAAAGTCAAAAAAAGACAATCTCGTACAGACTAGCCCCAGTAGGACTTCCAGATTCGATTATTGCTGCTTGGAACAAATCGTCATCTCTGCCGTCGTAAGAGTACAGATGATAACTAATGCTTTGACCGCCAGCGGATTCTCCCCAGACCGTAATCTTTTTTGGATCTCCGCCGAAAGATGCTATATTCTCCTTTATCCATCTCAATGCTAATCTTTGATCAAGAAGTCCAGCATTGGAGCCTCCTTCAGCAAGTACTTGAGGTGTTTGGAGAAAGCCCCACACTCCGAGACGATAGTCCATGGACACTACTAACGTTAGAGATTTTCTAAACAGAAAAGCGAGTTAAGATTACCTGTAATAATAGGTTGCCCAGTTTGTTGTCCGACATGTGTGATGCCAGAAAGATTGTATCTGGGAATTATTAGAATTGTATTGAACATCTGAAATGCTCTTAGAATACTGACTGCGGATCTGCTGTCGCTCCAGTATAGAATCCACCGCCGAATATCCAGATCAAGACAGGCAAATTGCTGTCAGGTGTAGTTCCCGCTGGCCTTATCACTAGGTTGTGTATCATTTAGCAATCATCCAGCGTGTTCTTGACTGATCACTATACCATTGAGAGTGAGGCAGTCCTCAGAAAGATTAAAAGTCGTTCCATATTGGTAACAACTATGACCATAATGTTTTGCATCTCGATATCCAGTGAACGAAGTGTTCAAGGACTTCGGTCTAGCAAATCTGAGGTCTCCCAAGGGTGGAATAGCATAGGGTATCCCCAGGAATTGGTCTTGCTGCCATTCAGGAACATATTTCCCAATGTATGAACCATTGGTGATGGTCACAGTAGGGGAAGTAGAATTGATTCCCAGGGCGGATGACGGAAGAAGAATACTTGTGGACAGAACAGCCAGCAAAGAACGAGACTTTTGCAACCGCATCTTGTAGTACTATTGAAAGTAGTCTCTAGATTCCAAGACAGCGACTAAATTCGTTCAATCGAAATTGGAGACATGAATGACAGATTTGGTGAACTTATGCTATTTGGAAAACCTTGGCACCTGCAATAAGTTCCATTGAGATAAATGATTTGCCAATCATGAGATTGTAAAAATGGGAGGCAATGATTTCAATACAAGTACCAGGTGTAGAATCATACAGGAAGATTATCCACTACTAAGATCAAATCATCCCCGCAGCAATTTGAGGTCATTGAAGGCTTCTCTTTTTGCTAAATGTATATTGCCTTGCCGACCAAACACCCAGAGAGGTTGTACCTCGAAGATGAATCCCAACACTTGATTGGTACTCTTTCAATGGAAGAATTCGAACTTGTTGTAAGATATGCGACCATCCCACCATTCGTCCATCCTACATGTCACTTTTGATAGCCTATACAAGGGTTTCACGGAGAAACTATTCCCATTCATACCGGACGTACCCCGGATGAAGATGCACCAAGATGATACCATGTTCATATTGCATGTATCAGGGCGTCGGTGAGAGACTTGGCATGATATCAACTTATAATGTAGTATATCTTTCTACGTAAATGCGAGTATAAACATCCGGTATGACGAGATAATATAAATAGAGCTCCATCACATTTTGATATCAGAACATTAAATCTATTTTTGAGCGTTGCTTGGCATCCCGAGGTCACTTATCACAGCTTACAAAGATTGTGGAGTAAAATTTTATGCCACTTTTGACCGCCCAAACATAAGATTTCACTTATGTAATGTATTCTCCGTTCGGCTCGGGCCGTTTTCTTCGAACTCAAAATATCACTTCCGTCAATTCTATCCACCAAGTCTTGTCTGTATTGGAACAAGCAAGACATTTCGTTTCATCAAGTGTTGCTTATAATTGAAAACTATACATTTCGATTATCAAAATGACAATGGGCACTTAATGTAGGTGACGAAGAAGAGTAGCTCTGAGAAGGAACCTCGTTCGGCGACAGTGTATGCACAAAGAAAATGGAGTTTATTCTTCGCTGTAATGCATTGAAATGCAGGAAAGAGTTGAAGGATCATGCAGTGGTTACTACCTGCAGGTTTGTTTTCCATCGATTTCCGGTCTCATATGTCATATTCACAATTTCACTCTAAATTTCATTACTTATTCTTTACAGTCATGTCTTTTGCATCGAGTGTGCAAATCAATCCCAGCTTTCAACAAGCCTACGGGAGAATCGTCGAACAACATGTCCCGCATGCGATATGCATTTGCCAAATCCCGACGATGTTGTCGTTACAAATTTAAACCCGAGTGAGGACTATAAGACGAGCGTGTTGAGTGGACTCAATCCAAGCGTCATAATGGAGTGTGCAGGCCGAGCCTTAAGTTTCTGGGCATATCAAACAACTCAAGAGATGTTTGTTTCTAAAGTCTGATGCTACAAGCTTTACTAACGAGCTTCAAGTGTTTATCAAGAATACCTTGCCAAAAGTTTGACAGACAAGTATTCAACGCTGAATTTTCAGATGGACAAGATAATACATGATGCAAACAGCGAAAT